CCTTCCTTCTCTATTGATTTGGAGGCCCCGGAAAGGAGAATTGGTGCCTTACCCTCTCGTGCATCCATCTCCTTTCTGCTTCAAAACCAAGAGAGAAGAGCGGGCTTAAGAAATCTCATTTCCTGTGATCCTTTTCTTTCTAGTGGCTACCTCCCTCCCCACACTTCATGTGTAACCGAAACAAACTAAAAGTAGTCAGTTTTCAACAGCCACTGTTCTGCTGTGGCCGGTTAAAAAAAAATGGCTGCAGAGCCCATGCTGTTGTGGGCTTTTGAACAAGCCAAAAGCAAACTTCCAAAATTAATCCATGCACAAGTGTAGTAATTAGCACTATGTTCCAGTCCTTGCTTTGTATTAAAGAGGAATGTACTTAAAATGTTTTACTAGCTACATTTTAGCTTTTGATAATATGGGCCTGAATTGAAATAGTTGATAGTTAGTCTTATTCTATTTTTAAGTTGTTTTTTTAAAAATATGTCACCCATAATCTTTACAATGTCAGAAACACACACTTCTTAAGGTGAGCTATTCTGAATAATGCAAGCCACACAATGCCATGTAACTGAGCAGGAGTCACACATATCCCTGAATATTTATCCAATTGGCATTCAAGTGCAACCCACAAAACTTCATTTAAAGTACTTTGCAGAGCAAATACAAAGATTCATAGAGTAAACATATACACAGCTGTTGTCAAATCCAACCCTATCTGTACTATCTGTTTAAACATAATCTCAAAAATTTTCCCAATTTCTAGAAATCAGGAGAAACCTGAAAAGCCTATGTTTAAAGGTCCTAGGGAATTGATCATTTATATTCTGCCTTTGCTCTCTTGAGCTCAGACTGCCTTGTGGAGCTGGTAAGAGATGCATACTTATCTTGCCCATATCCTTATAGTTGTGCAGGTTGAAACAGGGGAATGCCAAGAGTGTAGTTAGCTAGTCAGCAATATTGCTTGGTTTATCCTTCCTTTGAAAAGCTGAGGGATCACATAACTCTCTGCTCCTAAAGCTTTGGTATTTACTTGCAAAGCTCCTTGGGGTCTTAATAAACCCGACTGATGGGTTTGGACAACTCTGAGTTATGATTTGTATAAGGGACATGAACAACCAAGGAGTTTTGGCTACATCATGGTATAAAATGTAATAAATAATAATAAAATAATATATAAATGCCCCATGGTGGAAGTATTTCCATTTTTGTGAGCTTTATTTAGCTAGCCCTCAAAACTATCCATCTCTCAAAATTGTAATTCCAACCCACCAAGGGCCCCTCCAAACAGTCATATAACCCAGAATATCAAGGCAGATAATCCCACAATATCTGATTTGAATTGGGTTATCTGAGTCCGCACTGTTATATATTTCCGTTCAAAGCAGATAATGTGGAATTTTATTCAGCTGTGTGGAAGGGCCCTCAGTTACATACCTACACATAGTATAAACAAATGTTTAAGACAATTATCTGCAGTATTCTCCAAGTAGGCCTGAGCATGTTTTTGTTGGGGGGGGAAATCAATGGAAAAGCATTCACTGATTTCAATGAAGTATAGACCAGGCCTGAGGTAATCATGATAATATAAGAGTGGGTGATATGTCATGGCTCTGTCAAAGCAAATTACTTGCTTCAGGTGAGTGAATAACGTAGGATTTTATAAGGCTAGATAAATATCCCAAGGTTTGGGGCTAAATTTATTGTTAAATTTTACTGATGATTTTGTACAATGTTTTAAAATGATTTTATTGTGAATTGTAATTTTTATGGTATTTATGCTGTTAGCATCGTCTGATGCTCATGTGAGGCCGCGCTGAGTCCCCTTTGTGGGGAGAAGGGTGGGATATAAATATATGAAATAAATAAATAAATAAATTTAATGACTTCTATCTGCTGGGCAGTGGATATTTTTCCTCTTTGATAGTATTACCTGTTGAATATTTTGATCAAGAGTTTTGTGTTAAACTTCCTCTGTTGCAAAAATGCAAATAAAAAATCCCATGCAAATAGTTTTTTGCAATACATTTTTATGTCTGGTGGTGAACTATAACAGAATAAACTGAGACAAGAAACTGAAGAGAGAGGAAGTACAATAAAATAAATTGTACTTCTATATAAATTGTACTTCTACATAAATCTATATTTGTTTTGCTTTTTTTCCTGGCACCACAAAATTAATGTCTTATCCTTAGAATAATATCAGTTGTGAATTTTTTTCCCAGCAGGAACTGGGTTCCCCAAAATACAGATCTTTTCAATAAGTGTCTGGCTAGAATGAAAACTCAGCTGTCTTCACTGGATGTGGTGATCATGTTATTTCTCTTCTTACTGTTGCAAGTTGCTACATTGGGAGCTATTCCTGGATATTAGCAAGCACAATCTTGCATGGTACAGATGGCTATATTGATAGATGGGTTGAGTGGGAATCACTTACATCCTTCAGCTGTTGGTAGTTTCTCCTCTTTGTCTCCCTGGAGTAGTTATGTTACTACTTCATGCTTGTTATAGTGAAACTGAGCTTTTCCTCACAGTTTCCTACCCTCCCCCTGCCCAAGCACACACACATCCAACCTGGCATGTTTAATTTGTTTTCTCTGGTTACATTGCTTACAGTGGGGAGATTAAACAATATAAAAAGAATGGAAACAGTAGGTGGTCAGTGGTGCTTTACTCTATTGCTTCTCTTGAGGTTGTATGTGGGGAGAACTTTCCATGTCATACATCTGGATTTTCTTTGGCAAAAGTTTTACATATGGTTTTAAACCATTAGAATTAAGGGAAACCAAGAGATATCAGAAAACGAAACTTACACAATTCACAGAGTTCCATGGATTCGTTCCATGGAGGATTATTTTCTTTGTGTATGGACCTCATCACACTTACCAATATAAGCATTGCCAGCCAGTTGAGAGATGGATGGGCATGCAGCCATCACACTATGTCCCTCAACTTTCAGGAGAGGCCCCACCCCCAACTGGCATGGAAGTGTCCTAGGATGCTTCCTCGTCAATGTGGGAAGGCTCCTATGTTGTGCTGGCTCCAGTGGCGTCAGCACACTTCTGCCCCGGTTGGGTGATGCTTCACTCATGTAATAGTGAAAAGGCATGCTTGCCAGTGAAATGGCATGGGCGGGGGGGGGGGGGGGGGGGGGGGGAATGGGATAAGGACCAAAGTCAAGCAATTTCCAATGTAATTATGTCTATTTTAAAATGATGACCTTCTAAAAATAGCTACCCTATCTTATTCAGAATTTTCACTCTTTACAGCAACAAAAAATTATAATACTTTATGACTGAATAGGAATGAATGGTATGACTGCACTTTGTTATGGATCCTACATCATGTAATGATTATATTATAGAGTCCCATAAGCCATTGAAAGTTACATGAGCCTATAGTATATGTTCAATTTATATCAAGTTCTCCTGTTAAACATTGCAAATAAATATTGGGAGGGTATGGGTAATAGGTGATACACATCTAAGATATGTATAAAGTGTCACATAAGGTAAATTTACTTTTGGAATATTGTATACCAAGATAAGACTTGTATGGCAAAAGTTTGTTAATTGATGGAATAAATCAACGAAAATAATTTGTTTTTCAAAAATAAAATGTAAAAAATCAAACATTGGGACATTAAGATGTGGCAGGACTACAACTATCATCATAGCTTACCACTCGTGGCTGAGTATAATTGTCTTCCAAGTGTATGAAGTTATACAAAGCTTGGAACATTTTTCCTTTTTGTGTTTCAAGTTTCATCATTTTATCTCAAATCTTAAACCACAACTAGAGACATTTTGTATATTTGTGTGTACAGCAGAGGTTGAAAAGGCTGGAATTTTTAAATTTAATGACATCACCAGGAGTGGCTCACAAAGACTCAAGGCTTCAGATGCTCCTGACCTGGCAACCCTAACTTGACACAGTCTTTTTCTGTTGGAGGAACTGGATCAAATGGCTACAAAAGGTGAATTTGAGGAAAGAAGATTGTCTCCAGTGTTAAAAAAAATAAAAGCAGCAAAAGAGCATTTTATACAAATACTTTGCTGAAGTAAAAATCTTTCAGCAGAGCTGTTTCAGATAGTTAAAGGCCTAATTCAACCTGGTCCAAAATATAATGTTGACCATATAACAGCACACCATGAGGAGGTTGCCCACCATTTTGCAGATAAGATCACTCAGATTCAATCTGACTTAGACACCACAGTAGATTCTGCTCCAGTGGATGTAACCATGGCACTTGCTTGTCCTGTATTGATGGATACCTTTCAATTTGTGCAGCCTGAGGATGTGGACAGGATTCTTAGAGAGCTGAGAGCCACCACATATGGTCTAGACCCTTGCTCTTCCTGGCTCATAAAACAGGCCAGAGGGAGACTGGTGGAGTGGGTCAGGGAAGTGATTAATGCCTTCCTACATCAGGGCAGGGTTCCTGCAGGCCTCAAGGAAACCTGTGGAAAGACCACTTCTTTAAAAACCTTCCTTAGACCCCTCTGTACTGAACAACTACAGACCAGTCTCCAACCCCCCATTTTTAGGCGAGGTTCTGGATTGTGGGATGGCTTCACAACTCCAAGGGTTCCTGGATGAAGCAGATTATCAAGATCCATTCAGTCTGGTTTCAGCTCTGGTTATGAGACAGAGACAGCTTTGGTTGCCTTGGTGGATGACCTACGCAGGGAACTAGATGGGGAATGTGTCCCTGTTGGGTCTCCTGAACCTTTCAGCAGCTTTCGATACCATCAACCAAGGTATCCTTTTGGTTCACCTTTCTGCAATGGGGAAGGAGGAACTGTTCTTCAGTGTCTTCATTCCTTCCTGGAGGGACGTTCTCAGAAGATGGTGCTGGGGGATTTCAGTTCAACTGCTTGGCCACTGGCCTGTGGGGTCCCTCAGGGCTCTGTGCTGTCTCCTATGCTGTTCAACATATACATGAAACCGCTGAAAGAGGTAATCTGTTAACTCTTAATTCCAAAACATCATTCTTTTCAAGGTCTTACCTTTGTTGCAGCATCAAAGCATACAAAGCCCATACCAAAATCTATGGTAAGCCCCATAAGATGACTCTCCAGAACACAGGCATATGTCTTGCACTAAAAAGAAAGATTTAAAAGGTTAGATTGTTTGATTGGATATTTTAGTAAGTCTTTCTGTTCAACATATTACTGGCAAAGAAGAAGATATGGGATAACAGGAAGACCACATTGCTGGTGGACGTATTTACTAAAGGAATCAACAATCATGAGTTTGCAAGCCCTGGGGATTGTGGCTGATGACTGGAGTTTACAGAGGTCTCTCATTCAGGGGATTGATAATAACTAACTAACAACAACAAAGGTTAAACAAAGAAGAGCAACAAAATGAAGGTGTGATAAATGCAACCTATTGTGGATAATGGATTATATATATATAGACATTTGACATATGTCTATGTCTATATGGCAATTATGTTAAATTTGTAGAGTTAATGAATTTGCTTGAGAGAATTTATACTTGAAGGACTGAGAATGGGGAAGATATAGTCTATACTGTTAAAAACCCAAAAGTATGCCAATCCTACTCCTTATTTAGGCTCTGAACATTATCATTCTAGAAGGCTTAAATATATTATTGAATCAAAGCCATCTATGGACTGTAATTAAATATCACTTCAGGGATTATAAATTAGTATAAAATGTGTTGATTACCATAACTATTATTAAAAGTGGGAAATGCCATTAAAACTACTTCCACTGCATTTGGCTTAGCGTCTAGAGATTCAGCGCAGACCAAATCACATGTTAAGTAGTCCACTGAAATCAATGTGACTGTATGTAAGTTTTATTGATATCTGTGGGACTACTGTGAATCTGTTTCTGACCTATATGACTGAGTACAGGAGAACACATTCCCATTTTTGATGATGAGAGAATTCCTAATGTTCAAATAATGTTTATATTACATTTTTATCATTTAGTATTTGGCATATATGCCATCTTGTTTAAATAATGTTGTATGAATGCTATGATTTCCATTCATATTCTGTTTGAAATATATCTTACTGAAATATTCATAACACACTAAAGAGGATAGCTGATCACATAACTTTGGAGATGGATAAGATCCTAGTAATGAACCTGAGCTTCATAATATATATAGGTAACATATACCTACATATAGGTTACACATGTCAGTAGGGAGCATTGCTTTGTTAGCAGTTTATTCTCTGGCAGAAGATATTCCATTGTGTAGCAGTGATAATAGCAAAGTAAATATCATAGTGATAATAGCAAAGAAAATTTTCTCAGTTCTTGTGGGTTTTTTCGGGCTATATGGCCATGTTCTAGAGGCATTTCTCCTGACGTTTCGCCTGCATCTATGGCAAGCATCCTCAGAGGTGAGGTCTGCTGGAAGGGGGAAAAGGGGGGTTTATATATCTGTGGAATGGCCAGGGTGAGACAAAGGGGCCTTTGTAAGTTGGGCTGGGTGTGAATCTTTCCACTGACCACCTTGATTAGCATACAATGGGCTGACAGTGCCTGGAGCAAACTCTTCTTGAAAGGTGATTAGATGTCCCTGCCTGTTTTTCTCCCTGCTGTTTTGCTGTTGCAATTTTAGAATTTTTTAATACCGGTAGCCAGATTTTGCCCACCTTCATGGCCTCCTCCCCTCCGTTGAAACCGTCCACATGCCTGCGGACTTCAATGGCTTCTCTGTGTAGTCTGACATGGTGGCTGTGAGAGTGGTCGAGCATTTTTGTGTTCTCAAATAAAATGCTGTGTCCAGGTTGGCCCACCAGGTGCTCCGCTATGGCTGATCTCTCTGGTTGGAGTAGTCTGCAGTGCCTTTCATGTTCCTGGATTCTGGTTTGGGCGCTGCGTTTGGTGGTCCCTATGTAGACTTGTCCACAGCTGCATGGTATACGGTAGACTCCTGCAGAGGTGAGAGGATCCCTCTTGTCCTTTGCTGAACGTAGCATTTGTTGGATTTTCTGGTGGGTTTGTAGATTGTTTGTATGTTGTGTTTCCTCATCAGCTTCCCTATGCGGTCAGTGGTTCCCTTGATGTATGGCAGGAACACTTTTCCTCTGGGTGGATCTTCATCTTTACTCTCGTGGCTTGTTCTTGGTCTTGCAGCTCTTCTGATGTCTGAGGTGGAGTATCCCTTGGCCTGGAGAGCCCAGTTGAGGTGGTTCAGTTCATCTTGGAGGAGGTGGGGTTCACAGATTCTTTTTGCACGGTCTGCCAAGGCTTTAATGGTGCTTCTTTTTTGACTTGGGTGATGGTTGGAGTTTTTATGTAGATATCTATCTGTGTGTGTGGGTTTTCTGTAAACGGTGTGACCCAATTGTTGATCTGGTTTACGGATGACTAGGACATCTAGAAAAGGCAGTCTTCCTTCCTTTTCTTTTTCCATAGTGAACTGGATGTTTGGGTGGATGCTGTTAAGATGTTCCAGGAACCTGTTGAGTTCTTCTTCTCCATGGCTCCAAATGGTGAAAGTGTCATCCACATATCTGAACCATATAGTGGGCTTTTTGGTTGCTGTTTCAAGAGCTTGTTTTTCAAAGTGTTCCATGTAGAAGTTAGCTATGACTGGGCTGAGAGGGCTCCCCATAGCTACTCCATCTTTCTGTTCGTAGAATTCATTGTCCCACTGAAAATAGCTGGTGGTGAGGCAATGGTGAAACAGCGCCGTGATGTCTTCTGGGAACCTCTGGTTGATGAGTGCCATGGTGTCTGCAACTGGGACCATGGTAAATAGAGACACCACATCGAAGCTGATCAGTTTGTCATTTGTATTTAGCTTGAGATTGCTGATTTTTTCAATGAAGTGGGCTGAGTCCTTGATGTAGTGTGTTGTGAGCCCAATGTGGCTTTGTAACTGTGCAGCAAGAAATTTGGCTAAGTCATATGTGGGGGATCCAATGGCACTCACGATGGGTCTGAGTGGGGTGGAGTCCTTATGGATTTTTGGGAGTCCATACAGCCTGGGTGGAAGGGCTTCCGATTTACAAATAGTTCTTTGAAGGAGGGTTGTGTTACAACTCATCAAAAAGAAGCCATTGTTGATGAGATCTTCCTTGAACCTAACCACTCTAGATAATCATCTATGTTCTAAATTCACTTTTTTCAATAACATCTTAGGACTCATTGGATGGAACTCATTACTTGATGTGCATCTACACCAGCTAATAATCCAGCTTGAAATCTGTTTAAAAATCTGTTCCCTATGCTTTTTAACTTGTACATGAGATGGATGAGGGAAAATAGCCAGTTTGGGGACAAGGTGTTATTGGCATTGTTCTCCTATTTAAAACTTGTAATATTCCATATCCTTCATTAAATATGTTTCCATTTATTGTATGTCACTGAAACTGTACAGGATGGGGTTTGTAGTGTTTTTCTCAAACTCATAATCCCCACTGCACTTTTTCAGGGAAACTGTTGAGGAAGAGGCTAGAGTGAGAAAGATGGTGGAAGGTAACACAGTTGTTGTTTCCAAGCCTTTAACTTTGCTTTCTCTGGAAGAGAAGATCTGTCGCATTATTTTCAAAGACCTGGAACTCTATGATCATTTATAACTTTTATATTTTTGATATATATGATTAGTATGTTATTTCATTTCTTGGAAATAGGTGGTTAAGTTTAGGTATAAACATTTCATGGGATTGTTCATTATAAAAGAAGAAATGAAATTAGAAAGTTCTAAGGTTTCCATGATGGCTTGGTACTGATGTATAAAAGTACATGTGTTAGGTAATTTCTTGATCTTGTCCAATTATCCAGCTTTTCTACACATTGCCAACAAGCAGCAGACCTTCTAGTCACAGATTTTTGAGACTTGTTTGACATTCTACAGATATTCTCTATTTTTAGTTTCCCCTTCTTGGAAGTGTGGCTTGATTTGTGCTGAAATAATAAAATGGAGCAACATTGAAATTCAATTAGTGACAAATTTTATTATTCAGCCAAGCTGTCTGTTTGAATGTGCCTCTGGATCACAATGGCAAACTAATTCTGTTCACCGTATATATTGTGTATTTTCAGCTCAAAATATAATTGCCAAAACATGAAACATAGAAGTATTTCAAAGGGACAACCTACTCACCAAGGAAATGTTAGCTTTTAAGATTAGAAAGTAAATTCTTGAAGTCTTTGCAAGATTACCAAAAATTCTGGTCAAAATGTAACAGATGAAAATCTTGCATTATTTTCTTATGAAATCGTGAACGGGTGAAAAATACAAATGTAATACCCAATGAGGTTGTTCTCAGCCTTTAAAACAGGGGTCCGCAAACTAAGGCCTGTGGGCTGGATGCCACAAGGTCATTTATCTGGCCCTCGGCCTAAACTTTAGACTTAGGATCACCCTAAGTCTGAAATGACTGGAAGGCATACAAAAACAACCATCTTAATTAACTTTACTATCTCATCAGCCAAAAAACAGGCACATGCTTCCTATTGAAATACTAGCAAGTTTATGTCAGTTAAAATTGTTCATTTTAAATATTATAGTGTTTTCATTATTTTGCATTACAAGTAAGTTATGTGAAGTGTCTTAGAGATTTACCAGTTACAGATTATGTCCTAAAACTTTCCTAATTCTCCTTCCTATCAAAACATATATGAAACTCACAAGTAGTAAGTCACTGTTTTCAGCTTTGGAGGATTACTACTAAAAATCCCTGTAGAAAGACACAATCTTGTGGTAATAATTTT